CCCATAAGGAGACGTTTTTAAATATGTAGAAAAATAGAATTAAAGTACAAGCTTATTTTCACGCAAAATTTTTTGAAATCCATGCATAGCTTTTTTTTCATAATATTCATTTTGCCTGAACTTTTTGAAGACCCCTCCATAGACGAGTGTCAATTATACTGTCTATATTTCTCTATGTTTTAAATTTTTGATATGAGAAAGATTTTTTAATGGTGGCTCAGAGAGATGAGGTGACTTGCCCAAGGTCACAGAGCTAGTGTTGGAACCAAGATTTGAAACTGACTCCATGTCAAGGAATTCAGGCTCTGCCACTGAGATTTTCCTGAAAGCCCCTCCTCCAGCTGCCACACACCACCTTCTGCGCTAGCTAGGATCAAAATCTGAGAAGATGGCACAACGGTGGCATAGTGGGAAAACACGACACTCTGTGAGGTTGACCCACATGGGAAGGTTCGCACTGGGCATGAAGACTCTGTTGTGGGGTCTTGTCTTTCTGTGTGAGTATGTGTGTGTGTGTGTGTGTGTGTGTGTGTGTACGTCCTCGTGTATTGCTTATGGAAGACATCACCTAAACTTTGAAAAAAAAAAAAATGGAGCTTAGGACCAGCAGATAGTGTAATTGTTACATTACATAGTCAACCACGGTTTGAGTCCCAGATCTGGCGGCTTAAAACTCACACCAGGCATGGGCCTGGCATGTGGTGTAGTGGTTAAAGGCACTAGACTCTCACATGGCCAACTGCGGTTCAAGGCCCTGACCTGGTAGCTTGCCGTGACTGCGGTTACACACTTGGCAGCTTGAAAATCATGTGGGGTGTGTGTGTGTGTGTGTGTGTGTGCGTATCTGTGTGTCCCCCAAATCCCAGGAGAATGAAGAAGGGATTTGGTGTGGCCATCCCTCCCGGAGGGTGATTTCTCACTTTCTGTTTCTCTGTCTCTCCAGTGAGTGCACATGCCCTTTAGCAAAAATCTCTCTCTAAAAAAGAGGGTCAGGCAAAAGCACACTGGACCCACAAGCAAAGTCCCGGGTTCATGTCCAAGGCATCCCTGAGCACCCTGGGCCGCACAGCCCTTGATCTGGCCAGTTGAGACTATTAGTGGAGTGCAGTTTAAGTGCCTGTTGGGAGTGCCTGCCCTGTCTGTCTGTCTCTGTCTCTCTCTTTCTCTTGGAAGAAATAAATAAAAAACAAACTTTAGGGCCAGCAGCTGGTGTGGTAGTCAAGGTACTGGATCCCACACGGCCCACTCTGCAGGTTGAATGCCAGACCCAGTGGCTTGAATGACATGCCAGGCACATGTGTGTGCATGCCCAAAATCCCAAGAGGAGAAAGGAGAAGGGACTGTGGCATGACCATCCCTCCTGGGAGGTGATTTCTCACTTTCTCTCTGTGTCTCTCTTTAATGAGTGCACGCACCCTATGGTAAAAATAAAATAAAATAAAATAAAATAAAATAAAATAAAATAAAATAAAATAAAAAGGGACCAGCAGTTAGCATAATGGTTATGTCGCTGGATTCCCATGTAGTTGACCACAGTTGGAGTCCTGGACCCGATGGCTTAAACTCATGCTGGGCGTATGTGCGTGCAAGCCCAAGATCCTGAGAGGAGAATGGAGCAGAAGGGATTACAGCATGGCCATCTCCCCTGGGTGGTGATTTTTCGCTTTCTGTCTCTCTGTCTCTCTGGTGAGCGCATGCACCCTATAGCAAAAGCCTCTCCAAAAAAAAAGTCAGGGCAGAGCTAGAAAGGCCCTGAAGAATCAGACAATCTCAGTAAATCCCCTATTTAAACATTAAGAAAACAGAGTGGGACCAGCCCTGTAGCCTAATGGGTAAGGGAGCCAGATCCCATATGACTGACCAAGGTTTGAATCCTGGCCCCAGAGGGATTGGAAAACACATCAGGCACATGTGCACGTGTACCCCAAATCCTGAGAGGTTAGAAATGGAGGAGAGGGGATCACAGCAAGACCGTGCTCCATTGTGGAGGGTGATTTCTCTCCCTCTCTCTCTCTACGTTGCTCTCTGGTGAGCACATATACCTTTGGCAATAAAAAGAGAAGAAAAGAAGGAAGGAAGGAAAGAAAGAAAGAAGGAAACAGGCACAGAGAGGGCGAGAGATGTCTCAAAGTCACACAGCAAGTTGATAGCCAAGGCAAAACTAAAGTTAGGACTCCTGACTCCAAGCCCAATGCTCTTGACCCCTCTCTAGTGGCAACCAACACAGGGAAGGATTTAGAAGCTTCCTTGCATGCATCCCTCACATCTGGATCTTGAGGTCACGTGACTCAGAAGTGCAAAGTCACAAGTTTGAACTTCAGACAGACTGGGTTTGACTGTTGGCTTCATGTCTTACCAGCTCCATCTTAGATGTCAAACCTCAGTCTTCTCACCTATAATTGGAGTGTCATCATCCTTTCCTCCTCCCCCCCCACTCCCAGGTAAATGGGGCCATGCTGGCTGAGGTTTTTAGCACCTGGCAGATGCTCAAAAACAGAAGCATTGCTATCGTTCTTGCTCAGGCTCTCTCTCTTCTTCTGGGCCTGGGGCACCAGTCTGACTTGGGCAGATGCTCCTAGACTAGCTCCCCCCAACTGCAACAACCCTAAGAATAAAAAAATTGGTATTTCCCCAAGCCGGAAGTTCCTCCGGCATGCCATTGCCACTTCTCCCTCTTGAAATCTCTGAATGGCCCAGATACCCAAAGAGCAATGACCAGTGAGAAATGATATCTTTTTTTTTTTAAGAGAGAGATTTTTGCTATAGGGGGTGTGTGTGGCACGTGTGCTCACCAGAGAGACAAAGAGAGACAGAAAGCAAGAAATCTCCCCCAAGGGAGGACACCCATGCCACAATCCCTTCTCTTCTATTCTCCTCTTGGGATTTTAGGCACACATGCATATGCACCCAGCATGAGTTTTAAGCTGCTAGGTCTGGGACTCAAACTGCAGTCGACTATATGGGAGTCCAGCAACGTAACCATTATGCCATCTACTGGTCCCAGAGAAATTACATGTTTTATTTAGACCCTAAGACTTCCCATTCCTCCACCTCCTGAAAATCTGATGAGCCGAGCTGGTCCATGTGGATGAATGTTCATCTCCAAATGAATTGGGCTTAAATACAATAGGTCCCAGCCAAAGCAAGTTGCGAAGCCTGTTCTGGGTTGTGTTTTCCTCTCTGCCTGGATCTGACCTCTGGGAAAGGCGGAAGGGACTATCTAGATGCATCCTGGAGTGGGGTGTGCCCTTCACACCATCCCCAGCCCTCTCTCCACCAGCAGCAGAAAGGCTGAGTCAACGTCAGTAGAAACCCAAAAAAGAAAAGGAAGAGAAAAGGCAGTGGAATTCTTGCTCCTCAGAGCAGGCCAGGGCTCGAGACATGGGTCACAGGGGAGAAAGAGGTAGAAGAGCCACCCGCCACTGTGCCCTGACCCTTCTTGACTCTGACGCCGTCTCGCTGGGAAGCCATGGCAGATCAACCAATCCCCAGTGCCTCAGTTTCCTCATCTGTACACTGGGGGTGATTATCATAGTACCCACTTCAGCGGAAGAGCACGACGGTTACAAGGGATAACGTGGGCCCAGCTGTGGTAGCATGTGCTAGGGCAGATTGAGGCCACCCCAGAGGCCCCTGGTTCAATGCCTGGCCCATCCTAAAAGGCTGGGCAAAGTGGCACACACCTGCAGTCCCAGTGACTGGGAAGCTAAGGTGGAAGGATTGCAAGTTTGAAGGTGGCATGGGCAACATGGTGGAACCCTGTCTAAAAATGGTGCCCGCAGGTGCCATAGCGGTTAAGGCCCTGGACTCCCATGTGCGCAACTACAGTTTGAGTCCCAGTCCCAGCTGCTTGAGAATCACTTCAGGTTCATGTGTGTGCATGCCCAAGAGGAAACTGGAGGAAAAGGGACCGTGGCAGGGCCATCCCCCTGGGGTGATTTCTCACTCCCCCACCTCCTTCCCTCTGGCAAACACATGCACCCTATGGCAAAAATCTAAAAATAAAAAGACCCGGGGCTACTGGGACACACACCTGTGGTCGCAGCTACTTGGAAGACCAGGCAGGAAAACCACGACACAGTGAGACTCTGCCTCAAACCCCGCACACAGCCCAGCCTGGAGGCACAATGTGGCAGACTGAACTGCAGTGCTGGAAGCCACATGCCCAACATGGGTTCAGATCCCTGGGTCAGCCTAAAAACATACCAGGTGCCATGTAGACACCCAAGATCCTAACTAGCCGGAGTGCTGGGGAAAGGGGATCAAGGCGTGACGAGACCCTGCCAAAGGTGCTTCTCTCCCTCTCCCTCCCTCTCTCTCTCCCTCTCTCGTGCATATACACACTCTCTATCATGAATAATTTATAAATAAACTGTTTTTAAAATACCATAGGGCCAGCCCATAGCTTAGTAGTCAAGGGAAGCCAGACCCCACATGGCCAATCACAGTTCAAATCCCAGCCCCAGAGGTTTGAAAAATACACTGGACATGTGTGTGTGTGTGTGTGTGCGTGTGCGTGTGCGTGTGTGTGTGTGTGTGCCCCAGATCCCAACAGGATGGAGAAATGGAAGAGAAGGGATTGCAGCATGACCACACCCTATGGGAGGGGGGGACTGCCTCTCCCTCCCTCTCTCTGTGTGTCTTTCTCTCTTTGTCTCTCTGTCTCTCTCTAGCAAGCATGCATACCCTCTGGCATCTAAAGAAAAAAATTAAGTCACACACATAGCATAAAAAGAAGAGAGATGTATATGCTTTGAGGGCCTTCAGTGGCCAGACACAGGGACGCCAAGCCTGGGACAGCAGGACTGCGATGCCTGTGCAATGGCTCCACCCACCAGGAGAGTGGTGCCCACCTGAGTGCTGCCCTGGGAATCCCACCTCCCAACACCCAATGTGCAAGAGAGGCCCGAGAGCTGTAGGGCTTTGTGTTCCAGAGCCTAGACCCCACACCTGAAATCTCAGGGCGTCCCAAAGACCACTTCAAAACCATCTGGCTCAGGCTCGTTCTATTAGATGAGGAAACCAGCCCCCGCACAGTATCAGGGATTGTCTAAAGTCAGCTAGAGAAAGAGCGAGCGATACATGCATGGCTGGCACCCCGCCAAGCCCTCGGCAGACACCACGAGGACTTCATCTGATCTTACAGAGACCCAGTGACTCACGGGCCTTCACGCTTTCATTTTACAGGATGGTCTAAAGGCTCAGAGTGTTCACACAGCTAAGGAAACCAAGAACTGGCCAGGCATGGAGTTCGAAGCCAGGCTGCCCCAGTCCACCCCCGTGGCTCTTGTCCACCAGGCAAACCTGCTCCCCAACTTTTTAAACATTTCCAGAGGGTGCATGTGCTTGCTACAGAGACACAGAGAGAGGGAGAGAGGGAGAGAGGGAGATAGCTTCCTCTTATAAAGAGTGGCCACACTGCAGTCCCTTCTCCTCCATTACCCCAACCTGTTGGGATTTGGAGCACACACACAGGCCCCTGGCACGTCTCTCGAGCTGCCAAGTCCAGGACTCGAGCCACACCATTGGCCACATTGGATCCAGCTCCCTTTGCCACCGACCACAGGCCGGGCCTCCCTACTTTTAAAACATATTAATAAATAGGGACCAGCAGTTGGCATAATGGTTATGTCGCTGGACTCCCATGTAGTCGACCACAGTTCAAATCTCAGCCCTGGTGGTTTAAACTCACACCAGGTGCATGTGCATGCGAGCCCAAGATCCCGAGAGGAGAATGGAGGAGAAAGGATTGTGGCGTGGCCATTCCCTTGGAGGGTGGTTTCTCGCTTTCTGTCTGTCTCTCTGTCTTTCTGGCAAGCACACATGCCAAGCAAAACCCACAAAAAAAAAAAAAAACATATATATATATATATATATTTCTTTCTTCCACAGGGGAGAGAGAAAGTCATCCCCAACAGGGTCTCTACAGAGGGCTCTGCCCCCAGCCTCTGCCAGGGTACAGACACAGGTGTGCACTCTGAGTGTACAGGAAGGACCTCTGGACACAAACTGTCCCATGTGGGACCAACTGCATCAGTGCTGCACAATCGTCTGCCCCTTCCTCCTCCTTTTTAATGTCATGAAATTATTCAGACTCACCCAGAACTTCCCAACACTGAGCACTGTTCTTCTGGGGTAGGCGTTGCTCCCCAGATGGGGAGTCGGTCTCGAAAGCAGGCCAGGCCCTAGATAAGATTCTGGCCCCAGACGGGTGACTCATCCTCTCGACATCTTGGTTTTCTCGCCTGTAAAGTGGGGAGCCCGCAGGGCGGTGGTGGCACTCTGCAGGATGACTCACGAGCTATACTGCAGCGGTGGCCCATCGCACGACACGGGCCTCGGGTGACAGGCTCTGTGTTCTGCAGGTGGGCTCCTTCGGGAATGGCACGGTGCTCAGGAACACTACGGAGGTGGAGCTGGTGGTGTTCCTGAGCTGTTTCCGCAGCTTCCAGGAGGAAGCCAAGTACCACCAAGCCGTTCTGAGCCTGATCTGGAAACACATGTGGCGCTGCCAGGACCTACTGGCCCTCGGGCTCGAGGACCTGAGAGTGACCCAGGGAGTCCCCGATGCCCTCGTCTTCACCATCCAGACCAAGCGGACCATGGAGCCCATCACCGTCACCACTGTGCCTGCCTACAGGGCCCTGGGTAAGGGGAGGGGAAGTCCACCAATGCACACACCTGCCCGCCCAGGACTCTGGCAATGACCCTGCCTCCTAGACATGCCCCACATAGACATCTGCATTCATTCATTCAGTCAGTCAGTCCATTCCTGTGCAGTTTATCAGGAAGATGTTCTCGGGAAACACTGGGAGGGAAGTAGGGAACTGAGACAACAGAGAGAAGAATCGGATCCAAGATGCATCCCTGAGCAAGTCACCTCTCTGAGCCACTGGGCTTCATGCCCCTGGAGAACACTTAGCAATAATACAGGGCCAGAGGTGGCACAGGGGTTACGGTGCTGGATCCCACATGGCTGACTGCATGGTTCGAGTCCTGGAACTGGTGCCTTGATAAATCATGCCAGGTGTGTGTGTGTGTGTGTGTGTGTGTGTGTGTGTGCGCGCCCAAAACCCCAAGAGGAAAATGGAGGAGAAGGGATCCCCCTATGGGAGCAATTTCTCACTTTCTCTCTTCCTCTCTCTCTTTGTCTCTCCTGAGAGTACACACACTCTATACCAAATTTAAATAAATAAATAAATAACATTACAGAGGGGACCTGGGCGTCATCCCAGGTGGGACACTAGAGTTGTACCCACCAACTTCCTGTACATTGTTGGCTGAGGGCTGCTTCCCAGGACACTAACTCACTGGCACTTGTTTGTCCTCGGGCTGAGAGTCCTGGACATTTTAAATAAACCACATCTGCTCCAAGCCGTGACGGTCTAGGTTTCACCTCATGTGCTGGCTCCTAGTTCCTAGGGTTGCTTCCGAGACTTGCCTCTGGGGATCAGGTGTCAGAGATAGCGTCCGATTTTAGAGAAAGAGAGGGCTGGAGCCCCAGCTGCGATGGCACACACCTCTGAGATTCCTGTGCTCTAGCAGCTAAGGCCACATGAAAGCTCAGGTTTGAGGGACCAGCAGTTAGCGATGGCTATGTCACTGGACTTCCATGTAGTCGACTACAGTTTGAGTCCCGGACCTGGTGGCTTAAACTCACGTCGGGCGTGTGTGCGTGCATGCCCAAAATCCCGAGAGGAGAACGGAGAAGGGATTGCGGTGTGGCCATCCCCCACTAGGGGGTGAGTTCTCGCTTTCTGTCTCTCTGTCTCTCTATCTCTCTCTGTATTTCTGGCGAGCACACACATCCTATAGCAAAAACCTCTCAATAAAAAAGAAAGCCCAGGTTCGATTCCAGGCCCGCCCTCAAAGCCATATGTGGGGGTTGGTGCCTTTCATCTCAGCTAGTTGGAGAGGTGAAGGCAGGAAGATTACAACCCATCTTTAAAGAAAAGAAAAAAGGTAAGGGCCCAGCCACAGGGGTGTGCACTGCTGAGACACTGGGCTGTGCCATCTGGGGCCCCACGACTGAGCAGGCTTCTAGGTCATCAGGAAAGTCATGATGGTTTTCTGTGTTTCTGTGCAAAAAACGCATCGTGACTTTCCTGACGACCGACTAGAACTATGTGTTGTCCTGGGGCTTCCTAAATCCCCAATCTCTCCTCTACTTCCTCTCTCCTTAGGGGCTTCTGTTCCCAACTCTCGGCCACCCCCTGAGGTCTATGCGAGTCTGATCCAGGCTCACAGGTACCCCGGAATGTTCTCTCCATCCTTCAGCGAGCTGCAGAGAAACTTCGTGAAACATCGGCCGACGAAGCTGAAGAGCTTCCTGAGGCTGGTGAAGCATTGGTACCAGCAGGTAAGGGGTGGCAGGGTGGGGCAGGGGAGCAGAGGAGGAAGGCAGAGGCCAGGGTTGGGCTGTTTCCAGGACTTGCACATGCGTGCATGCATGGGCACACACACACACACACACACACACACATTTCTGAGTGTCTTAAATTCATATAGTGCGTAAGACAACAACAGAGAAGCTTCTGGAAGATATCAGAATTCTCAAGACCAACAGGCCAAAGAGAACGAGAGAAAAACACAAAATACAATTGAATTCCCATCAGCTGCCACCAGTGGAGAATAAATGCCTGTCACCTTGTCAAATCATAAAAACAGGTTCACAGATTCTTATCACCAACAGGTGATATAAGTGGACCCGTAAGTACATGAATCAGAGTCTGGAATAGGGTCAGCCCCTGGCATTGTGCTTAAAGTGACTGGATCTCACATGGCCAACAGGGCGGTTCGAGTCCCAGACCCAGTGGGTTGAAATAACACCGGGCACATATGTGTGCCCAAAATCACAAAAGGAGGGAGAAAGGAGGAGAAGGTATTGCAGTGCGACCATCCTCTTTCTCTCTCTCTTTCTCTCTCAGTCTCTCCTGGTGGGCAAATGTGCCCTGTGTCCAAAAAAAAAAAAGTTTAAAAGAATCAGAAATAGTGGGGCCAGGAGGTGGCACGGTGGTTAAGGTGCTGGACTCCTACATGGTTGATTGTGGGTTGAGTCCTAGACGTGGTGACTTGAAAATCATGCTGGACACAAGTGTGTGCATGCCCAAAATCCAGAGGAGAATGGAGGAGAAGGGATCGTGGCATGGCCATACCCTCTGGGGAATGATTTCTCACTGTCTCTTTTTGTCTCTCTCCAGCAAGTGCAAGCACCCTATGGCCAAAATGAAAAAAAAAAAAAATCAGAAATAGTAACAGAGAAGGAAGTGAGAAGGAGGAGAAAAAACAAACCAGTAGGAGTTAAGGCAGCTGCAACAGAAGACTGACCTAAGATTGTGGAAGGGAGAGAAGGAGAAAAAGAGAAAAGAGAAAAGGAAGGCAGAAAGAGACAAAAATGCTGAGACAAATTCGTTTATTAAATAAGAATTTGCAGAGCCATGACAAGAGAATCAGACTATAAAAGGAAAGGCCTAATTTAATAACAAGTGTATAATGGAGACTTTCAGGAAAAAAAATTACCAAAATTACTAGTTACTGTCTATAGTAAGAGA